TGCAGCTATTTTCTGCAAGTACCGCTGCTTCGCCTCTGGACGCAATCGGTCTCTATACAGTTCATTCTCTTTTGAGCAGCTTTTAAGCATCTTGTAATCGTCGTTCCAACACAGTGTGTTTGATTTGATTCGTAGACCCCGAAAATGCCGCCGCGCTCCCACAATGCATTGCGGCGTGACGTCAACTCCGAAGCCCTATTGTTCCTTCAGTGCAGAATCAGCTCCACACAGCTGTGATGTTTCCAGCTCACAGGCGGATTGGTTTCTGATTAGTCCAGATTGGAGATAAACGTGTGTTTGCTGCCAGAAATGATTTGCCCTAAACAGGTTTATGACAGTAATAAAAGCACAGAGCAAGGTGCCGTATTGATGCTGCTATTTTCACCCTGGTAATTTCAGTAGTGGGATTGATTGTTCAGATTCAGGCATCTGTGGCTGTTAGGGCAGATTCGGCATCTACCTTCTGGTAGACGGTGAAGGAAATCTGTGATGTTTTGCTCCTCTTGTTCATTGATTTGACAATTTGCACTTGTGTTAGGTCACAGCTGATGGACCCTTCCTCTCAACTATGCCGCTGCTCACTGGCAGGCAGTCGGTGACGTGTGAACACAGCTTACCTTTGTCCTTTTTCCACAGTGACTTCATGGTTAAGGTGGTGGAGGTGTCAGACAGCAGTCAACAGAAAACACTCAGGGGTCACGAGGCACCTGTCCTCAGCGTCACCTTTGACCCCAAAGATGACTTCTTGGTGAGTGAACCTTGTGTCTGAAAGCAGAAATTCAACACAGAGGCTGAAGTGAGTATTTGTGTTGAGTTACAAATGGGACAATATCTTCATTTCATTGCAACTTAATATGAACCCACGCCCCATTGCTCCTCATCATATTACTGTGGTTGCTTCCATTTAGAGTTTTCATTTAAATGTATAAATACAAAAGAGAACCACACAGTGTTTAAAAAATTAAAAAAAAAAGGAGAGAAGAGAATTTATAACCTGAGGACACCTGTCGTACATCACATCACTGTCGCCTTTGTCTTTCAGGCCTCTGCTAGCTGTGATGGCTCTGTGGTGGTGTGGAATATTGAGGAGCAGGTACATCAGCATTTCAGCACTTTTCAATTAGAAAAATGCACATAATTCTGATTTTCTACATGATTTTTATCTTCTTTCTCAGACTCAGGTGATCAGTTGGCCTCTGCTGCAGAAGTCAAATGACGTCACTAACGCCAAGTCTCTGTGTCGTTTGGCCTGGCAGCCCGGGATGGGAAAGGTTGGTGACACGTCTCTTTGCTACCTTGAATGAGAGCGACAAAGACATCAGTCCTAAAATAACAAAACATTTGCATTTGTCAGTTTTTAGCTGTTCCTGTTGAAACCAAGGTACACCTGTATGAACGAGGCTCCTGGGACCACGTGAGCACTCTGTCCGATGATCTGCTCGCACAGGTGAGGTCCAGTATTGTTGACGTGGTGCACATTGTACACCTGACTATCAGTATAAGCAGTATTTGTTGTAACTGTGTACATGGCCTCACAATCCTGTCTAGGACATCAATATGCTGATCCATTTGTATGCTAATGCTAAGTAGTACAGCAATATTTAGCACTGCTTTTGGCATCATGACCAAAGACTGTATGTTAAAGAAGGAAGCAGCATCTGGGACATCACATTTTTAGTTGGACTGGGATGTTTCTTCTATATCAAAAATGAATACATTTAGTTTGAAGGGTGGACTGTTAAGTTATCAGCTAGCACTACCAAGCTTGAGATGCAAGTTAAATTCGTACACTGCAGGGTGAAACACGCAGACATGCATTACTTATTTAATGTTGAGGACCAGGCTAATAAAATAGTAGAACTGGACTTGCCACCTGGATGGCCTTTACTACACAGCAGGATAATTGCAAAAGGCACAGACAGTGCAAACACAGGTTTTAAAATAAAGTTCTGGGTTTAGAAAGAAAGTATTCACTACAGAAATACAAAGTAAAATTTTAATGGTCTGTTTGATACAATGGGAGAATCACTGTGTGAAACCACTCTGTGATTAGATAAGATAAAAGGCTAGATACGATTATTTTTTTGAAGAAGGTTTAGCTTGAGACTGCTTAAGTACTATATGGACAAAGTACTAACTGTGTATAGGTGCAGCTCAGCCATTGAAGTCCACACCATGAAGCTCTCACCACAGGAGGAGGTTTGAACTCTGCAGTTACTGAGTCAGCAGAGCGCTGGAGGCTTTTACACCCTGTGCACCTCAGCACTTGGTGACCCCGCTCTGTAACTTGACATGTTCCTAAACCCTTCCACTTTGCAACAATATCATTTACAATAGATCCTGAAATATCTGGGAGGGAAGAAGTTTAATTAACTGCATTGTTGCCATGATGGCTTCCTGTTGCAGCACCTCACCCTTTAGCAGGACTCATTCTATTTACTCTTCAAAACTTTGTGAAAGGAGTCTGATACGAGTTTATGAGTCACTTCTTCCCCTTGTATGAATTTTTAATTGATTAATTCTAGGTTTATGAGAACATATCAGTTTGTTGGAAGATGTAATTACAAATAAAGAGATATTTTTGAGTACAATGTTCTTTTATGTTTTAAATAACCTTAAAAAAATACTGACTATATCTTTTAGCAGGTGTGGCCAGGTACTTTTGTTCCTAGTGTATATATATTATTCACTTCTTAGTCTGACCTTAAAGAAGAATTGAATGGTAGTTTTATTTCATTAAAGGTTTATTTAATTTATTTTAAACCCCTTTGTGAGAGTTTTTACTGTTTGTTTGTTTGTTTGTTTGTTTGTTTGTTTGTTTTATTAAAACCAGTGAGTGAGTTATTTAGATATTAAATAGCTGAAACAACTCAATCATTATTTTTCTTTTTTCTTAAATTTGATTTCCCCTCCTTAATTTTTGCAGCCCATTAACGTGGTGTCTTGGTCTCCTTGCGAGCGTTTCCTGGCAGCTGGCTGCGTGGGGGGTTTACTTACAGTGTGGGACGTGAACAGCAAGCTGTGTGTGGAAAGGTAGGAAACAAAGCTGTGCAGACGCTGAGTGAATTTAAAAGCATATATATGACGGGTAAAAGGTAAACCAGTTTAGGGGACTGATGCTGATGAAATTGTTTACCTTGGTTCCCAGTGCTTGAGGGCTAAAGATAACCGAGACTTAAAGGCTGGTGTCATCATTAAAGGAATAGTTTATTATGTGTTTTCCCCCTCCCCCAGTATTTGTATTAAACAAATCGTGTGTTCTTTCTTCGGCTTGTCTCTTTATATAGTTTGTGCACAGATGATGTCAATCTTCTTGTAGTCTCTGCCAAAAGCAACATTGAACAGTAGATGTTGCTCATCACTAAAGTTTAAGCTTTCTGCTCTCTGCTGTAGGCAGAAACACGAGAAAGGCTTCACAGTGTGCAGTTTGGCCTGGCATCCATCAGGCAGCCATATTGCCTACACGGACACTGAGGGCTGCCTGGGCCTGCTGGACGGACTCGGCACCTCCACAGCTGATAACAATACGACCAAGGTACTGCTCAAGTAACCTTTTTTTGTACCCCCTCTGTACATCCCTGTACCATGAAGTAAGATTCTGAGACTCATCCAGCTCTGCAGGTTATCTTTCTTCATTAGATTAGCTGGGATAGATCTCTGCCGTAATAAAAGGAAATCTAACTACAGACAAGTCACTTGTAAAACATAAATTTACAGGTCAAACCTTTAAAATCAGGAAGTTATCACTACACTACCTTTTTTTTTTTTCTTTTTTAATCTTTCTTTGTTGTCCCGTTTGGATCTTTAGCCATCAGAATTGTTGTCTTACGGCCAAGAAAGATGCCAAGTGGATTTATTTTACCAAGTGGATCATCATGGCCTTGCCATATTGGTCCATTTGATTGACCTTTATTATAATTATGTATTTATTTTATTTTTGGTTGCTACAAACGGGACAGACATGACTGGGGGACATGTGAGTGAAGTTGGCCCCCCCACCTTCTTCAAATCCAACAAAAGTGGTATCAAACGTTTGTGCTACGTTTGTGCTGGTTTGTGCTGCAAAAATTTTCGTTTGTGCTACTATCATTTTAAAGATATTAATAAAAATTTCTAGAGGTCATCAGAGGTCAACCAGCCCCCCTACATTAATTAAATCAAACTAAATGGGTGTCAATCAACTGTGCTACGTTTGTGCTGCTAAAATTTTCGTTTGCGCTGCTTCTGTTTTAAAGATATTAATGAAAAGGTAAAGGTCAAAAGGTCAACCAGCCCCCCCACATTACCCAAATCCAACAAAATTGATGTCAAACGTTTGTGCTACGTTTGTGCTGCAGAAATTTTTGTTTGTGCCGCTATTATTTTAAAGATATTAACAAAAATTTCTAGAGGTCAACCAGCCCCCCCATATTAATGGAATCAAACAAAATTGATGTCAAACGTTTGTGCTGGTTTGTGCTGCAAAAATGTTTGTTTGTGCTGCTAACATTTTAAAATTTTTAATAAAATAACGTCTTGATGCGTGCTTAATCATCCAGGTAAGTAAATCCCAAAAGGTTCATTCTGTTCATCTGGACATTTTCAGTTGGAGAAACGTTTCGTCACTCATCCAAGTGACTTCTTCAGTCTCAGCTGACTGCAGGTTTCCCCAACCTTATAAACACATGTGAGTGAAATTGGCCCCCCTACCTTCTTCAAATCGAACAAAATTGATGTCAAACATTTGTCCTGCAAATTATTTTGTTTGTGCAGGTTATGTTTCCCTAATTTTATACACAGTATATGTACAGTGAGAGAGAGATGTTACATCTGTCTTCACTTGCATCCCAGTCATAGAAGCATTGGAGGTCGTTCATAAGAGATGACAGGATCACCCCAACCTCAGCAACAGGACCACCCTCAGCACTGATCAGTTGTGTTTGCTTTTGGAACTGTGTCTTAATTCCACCTATTTTGCATAAGGGTCAGTACAGGCAGAAATCTAGGTGTGCCATGGGTTCCCCCAGGCCCCTGGTCAAAGTCACCAAATCGGTTCGTAAGCAGGTACAGGTGTGGCCAGAAGGGTCCTCAGAGGCACTGCTTTTCCACCACAGGCTGCCACACACGACAACACCACAGACTTTCAGGAATATACAGAAACTGTCATTGCCTACATCCCAAAATGCATCGATGATGTCACGGAGACCAGGACTATCACTGTCCGGGCCAATCAGAAACCATGGCTCACAGGTCAGGTTTAAATGCTCCTAAGGTTGAAAAATGCAAGCCTTCAGAGCCGGGAATTAGGTCTAAGAACAGCAAGGGCAAACCTGTGGCATCAGCTGCAGCAAAGCTTCAGCGACAGCAGAGATACTTGGAGGCAGTGGCAAAGAATACAAACCTCTACAGACCGTGGTGACACAATCCCCAGACAGTGTGTGGAGATCCCTTGCCAAAATCAGTACACGCAAAGCTCCAGGTCCTGATAACATCCTTAGACGAGCACTGACGGACTATGCTGTGGAACTCACAAATGTCTTCACAGACATCTTTAACACATCACTAGGGTCAGGCCGTCGTTCCCACATGCCTCAAAGCCTCCACCATCATTACTGTACCCAAGAAGTCATCTACCTCCTGCTTTAAGGACTACCGTCCTGTCAAACTCACCTCCATCATTATGAAGAGCTTTGAACGGTTAGTCATGCATCAAATCAAATGATCGCTTTTCCCCAACCTGGATCCATTTCAGTTCGCATATCGGTCAAAACGCTCAACCGATGATGGAATTTCAACTGCCCCTCACTCAGCCCTCACACATCTGAACACTAGAGACTCATATGTCAGAGTGCTGTTCATAGACTTCAGTTCAGCATTCAACACCATCATTCCCCAGCAACTCATTCACAAACCGGATCTGCTGGGGATCAGCACCTTGCTGTATAACGGGCTGCTAGATTTCTTGACAGGAAGACAGCAGACAGTACGGGTCGACAGCAACACCTCCAGCCCAAGAACACTGAATACGGGGGCTCCCCAAGGATGTGTGTTGAGCTCCCTTCTCTTCACTCTGCTGACCCACGACGGGATCTACTACAGGGGTGAAGTTAACCATCTGCCAGAGTGGTACAGCAACAACAACCTGTCCCTGAATGTGGAGAAGACCAACAGCAACTCTACTTCCTCTGCAAACTGAGAAGCACAAGAGATTCAACCCCCATTATGAGCACCTTTTCCCCCAATTTGTCCTGACCAAGCTTCAGTGATCCTGTGTCTGAATGAAAAAAACAAAAAAATAAATGGAGTAATTTCAGGTGATGTCTCCATTCATGTGCGATGTATGCTGAGACATGCAGCGATGATCACAGTTTCACTTCTTCTAAAATCTGAACACCTTGTAACTTTAATCACCTAATTATTTTTTTCCCCCATAGATTAACATTACCAGTTAAAGACCGCAATAGGCTAACCTGCACAAAGACAAACTTCACTGCCTTCTCCACTAGATAGTGCTGACTTTAGGAAACATTTGCTTTGCTTATAATGATGACAAACATAACGATAATTAACAGGTTAAACATTGACTGCAGGTGGTGGAAATTCATGCAAACAGTTGTAACTGTGCCTCTTGAGCCTGAAATCCAAGTTCATGCTACAGACTTTCTGATCAAAAGTCAAATAAAAACTCTAAACACTTGTTTTGATGTTGAACTTTTGCAATTGAGCTCTTTAGTTAGGATTTTTTTTTTGCTTCTTTCACAAAGTCGAATCTGTTTTTTTCTGCACACAGAAAAGCTTTTAGCCTTCCCTTCGCAAGAATTTCTAATATCCTAATCTCGATCTTTGAACGTTGCGTTTCCTGTGTTTTGTAATACACTTTCAATTATTTCTGACATTTTAAGGAACAAACTATTGCTCGAGAACATAACTGCAAGATCAATCAATGATGAAAATAATAGTTAGGTACAGCAGGAGTTTGTGATGGCCAGAGCACCTCGCTTTTATCTTCCATCTGTATTCGCCCCCTCAATGACCCCATCTTCACCCACCTAATGAGTTCTCGTCATCCAGGAACGCTCCTCTGTTCTTCACCCGCCCAGTCGCAGGCACCAGGAAATCGTCATCGTCATCGTCCCAGCCAACGGCTTTCTTAGCTGGAGACTTTGTGTCACTCAGTCCTTCATCCATCAGTCTGTCATCGTCATCATCAAACAGGTCATCATAGTCTTTTGCAGGATTTTTTGCAGCGACCTGCTGAATGTCCATGACAGATTTAAGCAGCTTGAATTTAACTGAACAAAAGAAAAAAAAGGGAGACTTTGAAGCTGGGCGTGTTTACAGTTGTGTTATGAACTAACCGCAAACAACGCTCAACTGGTTATAAATGCAATCCGGTAACTTAATCTATGGACGCTGTTGTTCCTGAACAAAGAATATGCAATAACACTAAAAGGCATTAAAAAACTCTGGGGCCTCTGGATGTCTGGGGCCTGGATCTCCTCCATACCTGCTTCATGCCCTGGAGGACGGGGCTGTGGCTCCCCACACTCCCTAGCAGATCGTTACATGGAGAAACCTTTGGAATACAAGCATGCTGATCCACACAGGTGTACACACGGGTGTTCACAGACGCGGACTACAGCTTTCTTGGCTGCTGCCTCAAAGCACATTGTGCGCTGTCTATCTTGCGTGCTGCACAATATCGTTTAATATTTAGTATCTACTGTTATCTACTGCTAGCTAGTTTATTGTGATGGTGCTGTATTTATTATGTTGCTCTTTTTTATTTGTTTTCTCTTCTGGGGTTTTTTTCTCCACACAGGTGATCCAGGTGTTTTGTTTGTTTTTCTTTCTTTCTTCCCCCCTTTCTCACCATCTCTTCTCCCCTCTGTTTTTCTTTCTCTCCTTCTCTTTCTTTCATTCTTTCTCCCTGTCCTATCCCCCAGATGTGAGTGAACGCCTAATCTCTAAGGCTAAACCCTACATACCACACAAAGATATGGAGAAACTCATTCATGCTTTCATTACGTCAAGACTGGACTATTGTAACTCACTCTACTTGGGTCTACAATCTTCTCTTCTGCAGCGTCTGCAGCTGGTCCAGAATGCCGCAGCACGTCTCTTGACCGGCACTAGAAAGTTTGACTCTATCACCCCTGTTCTGAAAAATTTACACTGGCTTCCTATCAAATATCGAATTGATTTTAAAATTCTATTGTTTACTTATAAAATTTTAAACAATATGGCACCTGACTACTTAGCTGATCTCCTCTGTCTGTACAGCCCTCAGAGAGCACTAAGATCATCGGGCCAACTGCTCTTGGTGCAACCTAGGTCTCGGCTGAAGACCAGAGGAGACCGTGCCTTTGCCGTTGCTGCACCCAGGCTATGGAATACTCTCCCTCTTCATATTCGCGCGTCAGATTCCATTCAGTCTTTTAAATCACGTTTAAAAACGTATTTGTTTGATCTGGCATTTAAGGCGAATTAGGGTAATTTACATCTGGCTCTGTATTTAGATTATGTAATTATCTTATATTTATATATTTGTATTATGTGTGATTTTATTTGTACTGCGATTTTACTGGAAAGCACTTTGGTGTACTTCGGTCTTAAAAATGTGCTATATAAATAAATTTTGATTGATTGATTGATTGAAGTTACCCCCCCACCTTCTTCAAATCCAACAAAAGTGGTATCAAACGTTTGTGCTACGTTTGTGCTGGTTTGTGCTGCAAAAATGTTTGTTTGTGCTGCTAACATTTTAAAATTTTTAATAAAATAACGTCTTGATGTGTGCTTAATCATCCAGGTAAGTAAATCCCAAAAGGTTGATTCTGTTCATCTGGACATTTTCAGTTGGAGAAACGTTTCGTCACTCATCCAAGTGACTTCTTCAGTCTCAGCTGTAAAGTGTAGTGAAAGTGTGCGTGTTAGTCCCCATAGGGAAATAGTTCCTCTGCATTTAACCCATTCACCCAGTGAAGCAGTGGGCAGCCGCCAGTGCAGCGCCCGGGGAGCAGTGTGTAGGGACGGTACCTCAGGGGCCTCAGGGTAGCCGTTCAGGGGAATCGAACCCCTGACCTTCCAATCATGGGGCCAACACTTTACCTATTGAGCTATCCCTGTCCCCAACCCGCCTTTTTTCTCTCTCATAATAATGTGTACTTTAATGTGTGCCTGACAATGTAGGGTCCTGCTCCTAATGAGACAATGATGGGGGAGGGGATCTTCTCCCTGATCTGGACCAGGGCATCACTGAGCTCTGGAGGGCAGTCAGTAATATCAGTTCCTTTGTGCTCCAGGAGCTGCCTGCTTACTATTGCCACATGAGGCATTTTCAGAGATGACTGAATCCCATGTTCCCTCATCAAAGGAACAATCCAGATCTTTTCCCCCAAATACTTTTCTACATGTGTTGTTTTGCCTTTGTAAGTAAGGGTGGAAGTAGAAGGATATTCTCTATGAGATTTTTCTCCTGAGACAACTTGAACAATGTGCTGGGGGGTTAGTTCCATGATTGTTAGTATGCAAATTCTTATGACCATTGATCAATGACAACTAATCAAAGCCTACTGATCAATGGCCATGAGTACCATTCACAGAAAGTGGGGAATGGCTACAATCACAGCATTGTAAGATGGCAAAAGATGTACCCTTGGGCCCCCCTTCTCGATTCAGAGATGGTCAGCATCCTGACAGCCCAATGGACGAAGCTGTCTCTCAGTCTGCTGGTTCTGGCCCGGAGGCTCTTCAGTATCCTTCCTGATGGCAGCAAACTGAAGACGCTGTTGAAGGGATGAGTGGAGTCACCTGTAATGGAGAGGACCTTCCAGATGAGGCAGGTGCAGTAGATCTCCTGGGGAGGGAGGCAAGAGAGGTCCCCACAATGCTCTCGGCTGCTCTCACTACCCGTTGTCATTTTTTCCTGCAGAACCCAATGCAGGAGTCATACCACACAGTGATGCAGCTGGTGAGGATACTCTCAACTGTGCCTCTGTAA